CCGGTAGACCTCGCAATAGTTGGAGCACGAGCTGCGGTTCGGAGACCGGGGCATCGATATCATCTAGCCAATCAGCTATGTTGCGTAGGGTTTGACAATAAGTAGCCATGGGCATGGATCCCTTGACCGTGGTGCGGAATTGATGTTCCAATTGCATCGCCCGAGCAGGTTTATTGTCATGGAAGAGATCATGAATAACCTGCCAAAGCTCGGAGGCCGTAGAAGTAGAGGAGATGACCAAGTCGGAGACCTCATCGGTCACCGTGGAGAGAATCCAACCTTGAAGCAAGGCATCCAGTTGAAACCACTCGTCGTCGTCGGCGGATGAGGGGGTCCTGGATCCGGAGAGAAAGCCATGAAGATTGAATCGTCGAACAAGAAGCAAGAAGAGACGGCACCATTTTTTGTAGTTTGGTTGAGAAAAGCTCAATTGTATGGGAACATGGAGCTTGACGTTGGATATTGCCGTAAATGCCAAGTGGGGAGAATTAGAGGAGGATGAAGAAGAGGATTTGTTCGTTGTTTTGTCGGAGTTATCCATGGGAGGAGGAGAGATCAAGGGTTGAATGGTGAAGAGGTGGCCTGCGGCACCCTTACTGCCGAGAGAGGCAGTGACGAGAGAGAGGGAGAGAGAGCCGAGAGCAGGAGAGGAAAAATTAGGTTTTTGGAATAGGCTCCGATACCATGAAGAATGAATATTTTCGATTGATTAATTGTGTAGGAGTACAACCATATTTATATACAAGATGGGACTCCTAATCATGGTAGGAGTATAATTAAGAAAACCTATACAAAAGGTAACTATCAATAATACAATGATATAATAATAAATACAATAAATATACTTAACATAAATATATATTAAATATATTTAACATAACTTTTGTTTATTCATGTATTTTCATTAATAATTTGATAAAATGAAAAAGTCATCATATCACATCTTGTTTTGAAGAACTTTTGATGTAAGTTTTAAATATGCGAGTTTGGTTTTTTATTTCAATACTATTTTTTTTTAGATAAAATGATTATAAAAAGTGTGAACTTTTGCATTGTAATTCGAAGTGTGCTCTTTGGCACACGACAGAGAGAGTATTTTCTTAATTTTATTCTAATGTTTAAGTAAATTAAATTAAAAATAATTTCAATCAAATTCGAGCATGGCTTTACTTGGCTCTAAAAGAGCTTGTTCGAGCTCAAGGATAGTAGTCTATAAGTACCCCACATCCGAAGCATTTCGACCGAGCTCATGGTGATGATCAAATCAACCGAGCTGGACGAAATGGTAAGTTGGTCATCCATCATCTATGTATTCTTCAAGCTCGACCAAAGCCCGAATGGTAAACACCAATGATATTCTCGCGATCGATAACTAGAACTCATTCCAACTCAGTCAATACATTGTCTTAATTATTTTAGAAACATGAAATTCAATATATATGAGCTACACTCAACAGCCCCAATCTAATAATATTCTTCACATTCTATATATTTCACAATCATTTTACACTACAGTAAAGGTAATAAATATGAGTGTGTGTATGGGATTTAAGCAGGCACAGATGGTGGGGTTTTTCATTACTAAAATCATCTACATTGCCGCTTGGAGAAGTAGTGGGGCGAGAGCAGTTTACCCAGCAGAGTTTTCAATCTTCTAGCACCACTTCCGTGCACTAGCAGGCCATACTTCTCGCTCTGCAAGGCCGAACACGTCTTTCGGCCTTCATCCAAACACCATGCCCCCAGAGAGAAATGGCCCTCCCCAGACCGCCTCTTGAGGAGTTCCCGGTCTATTTTGTCAAGGACGGGATCGTCCCTCTTGAACTTCCTCGCAAATGGCCGGTTGCTTAGGACCATTCTCCTGTAGTCCCTAAGGCCGAGAGAGCGAGGGTGTTGTTTTGGAGGGACGTCCCAGGTGATGTAATGCAAGTCGTGGTCCACCGTTGTGTTCTTGTAGCCCTCCTTTGCTTCGGAATTGCACACCACCGTTTGGAAGTAACCCTCCGGAGAGGAGACGAAGTTGGTGTAGTATAGGAGAAGCCTTCTGGGAAGGTTGTCCCACCCTACTATACAGTACTCTGCAAAGGATCTTGACAGTACCGTCCAAGCTGAACCTGCATGCGTTACACGAATTAACATTTACCAAAAGGGAAGATGTTAGGGACAAATGCTATAAAGGAGACATTTTTTTTACTAGTAATAAAAGCTTTTGCATTCATCAACAGTAATACTTCCGGTTCTCAAATCACTTCTCACCTGCAAAGATGGTAACACTACTTATATGGATCACAACAACAACCAAGATAAATCCCACAAGAGTAGGGTCTAGGGAGGGTGTGTGTACGCAGACCTTACCCCTACTCGAAAGTAGAGAGGCTGTTTCCAAAGAGACCCCCGGCTCAACGTCGAAAGTTGCATTGCTTGACTAACTGCTACTTCATTAATTAAAGAAAAGCGCAGACAGTTTAGAGATCCATTTTGATTTATTCCATCACACCCCAAAGCCAAAAAATGGTAAAATTTCGGCTCAACTACTTATATGGATCACAAGAGTAAGATATCATTATTAACAATTGTAAAAAAAAAAGAATAAAACTCTCACCTATTATCAAACACGGACCAATGAATTAAAAAAAGGTAACGAGTTGGAATAAGGAATGGTGTTGAGTTAACGTATGATACATGAAATCAGGTGTGTGCTTGTTTAAATTGATTTTGAAAACGGTGTTATAATGTCTCAATCGCAGTCGAAAGCAGTGATATGAGGGAATGAGCTTGAATAGATTTTTCAGGAATATATTTTAGGAATCATTTTTTCTAAGCCAGAGATATGCGTTTGGATTGGACAAATAAACCTATACCTTGTACCAATACTGAAGGGAACTGGGCCTAATTCAAAAGAATGAACCAATCACTAATCATCCATGTAACAATAAGAAGGAATGGTTGAATGCAATAAAGTAGTGAGCATTATTATTAATTTATTAATGGGTGGATCAGATTAGATGAATTTACTAAATCACAAAAATACTGTGAATAACAATAGGATATCAAGGGAGAAGAACCTGTGTAGAGCTTGAAAGCAGTTGGGAGAGTTCTCTTCTGCTTGATAGCCCACCAGATCTCTGATTTATTACTGCTGTGCAACCCTGGGTCTAACATTATTGGTTTTCCTCTCTTATTACTGATAAGAATCATCATGATAGAGCAAAAACTTGATTAGGGAGGCAATTGATCAACCTTCAAATTGAGAAATGAGGTCAAATGACAAAACTATCCCTTTCTCCGTCTACTTCCACACACAGTTCATTTACGAAGTCTATATATTTTATCTCAAGTTTATTGTCCAAAGTTTTAGCCGGTGGGCGATGGGTGCCAAAGGAGGTAATCCCGAGTTTGATTTTTGACAACTGCGCTCGGAAGCAAGTATGCTAAGCATAAGACCTCTGCAACTGTCACGTACATGCCAGACAGCCTGTGATTATAGCTCAATTTATCTCTTTTCAAGTGACTGTCTGACCGGTTACGAGGGTCTCACGATGGGGATCTATCCTTTTATACTCCGTATATTTTATCTGAAGTATAAATATATTTGGTACACTAACAACTAATCCGAGACATCAAAAATAAAAATGATAGACAACCAAATCTAGAGGAAGTGACTGATTAACAAACTAACAAAATGTCAAGATCTTACAATTTCCAACCAAGACGACTGGTGTGCTGTATGAAGTTTAGATCTCTTGGCAAAGTGGAGAAGGATTGGATCAGATCTGAGAAAAAATGAATAACAGATGGAAATTGAAATTTGTCAAGCTCAGGAAAAGTGAAAATTGATTCAATATGAATGTGGATAGAAGATGACGCACTCACCATACCATCTTGGGTTACAAGTGGATAATCAGAAGCGCTGAGATTGATGAACCAGTCCCAATTTGCAGTCCTCAGAAGAACAGACATGGCGTGGAGAGTGGCGGCCAGCATCGTCGGACCTCTGTAGGTCACCAAGCTCGGCTTGCCAACCACCCACACGTTTCCAATTTGAACGAAAACCGCGTTTCCGGCAACGAATCTCGCCAGTTCCCGGTGCTCCGACCGCGGCGCGTCCGCATCCAGGTGGATCAGGTAGTAGTTCCCCGGGTGGTAGAGCGCGTGCAGTAGGCGGCGCAGCCTAGGTAAGTCGCCTCTGGAAGCGGAGATCAAGTAGGCAAACGAGACGGGATACTGCCGCCGATCCTTCTGGTCTCCGACGGGAGTAGCTCGGACGAAGAAGGAGGTGGCGGGGCGAAGAATGACGATGCCGGGATGGTTGGTGAGTAAGGCGGGGATGAAGATGAGGAACAGGAGAAGGGAGGCAGGGATGAAACAGATCCTGAAGAGTCGGGAGCCGGCCATTGTTGCGAATGAGGCGAGCATTGGCCTTGGACGAATCCGCCGCGCGGAGAGCTGAGATGGGCGGTTAGCGGTGGTTGGAGGCAGGAAGTGGAGGAGCTTGGTGGGAGCAATTACAGTGAAGAAGGAATAAAATGGAAAGATTAAAAAGATAAAACGAGCGGGTAAATTGTACTCCATCAGTCCCAAAAAGTTTGTTACCTTTAGAAAAAACCGCGTCTCGTAAAGTCCGTTACATTTCTATTAAAAAACCACTTTTACCTCTTACTTTTTCATACTCTACCTATCACATCATCCCCTTTTTCTAATAATCTACCCTTCACATCCTACTTTTACCCATCACATAAAGGGTATTTTTGGAAAGTCAATACCAAAATATCTCTCCCTTAATTTCCCAAAAAGTCAAACTGTCTCATTCTTTTCGGGACGGAGGGAATACATTCTTTTCTTGGAATAGGTCTCCCTCATTGCGTCACTGTGGTACGGTGGTATGGTTTGATTGGACTCATTAAGGTTACCAAGTATACAATGTAGGGGTGTTCAATCGGATCGATCCGATCCGATCTGAAAATTTGGATAGGGGTGGACACGGTACCGGTACGGTACCGTCACCGGCAACAGTACCGCCGGTACCCGCCACCGTCACCGGCAAGGTCGCCGTGTCACCGGTTCCGGGAACCGGTACCGGTACCGCCACTTTCGGTACCGGTTCCGGTACCTATTTTTTGGTACCGGTACCGGCGGTACCGGTCCGGTTCCGGTACCGGTTTATTTTTTTTTTTTTTGTTGATTTGAAAATCTGCAAAAAGTTAAAAAAAAAAAAGGTGGGGGACACACCTCAAACGGCTATTTAGCCGTTGAGGTGGGGGAAGGGAAGAGGGGAGGGGGTGGGGGGACCAAGTTTTTTCTATAAATTCTCTCATTTTTTCATAAAAAATCACTCAATTTCTCAATCTATCTCTCAATCCTCTAATTCTCTCATTCTCTCAATTTATCAATCTCTCAATCTTATTATCTCTATTTAATTTTTATACATTTAATATTCATATAATAATATAAAAATTTTATACATTAAAATTTTGAAATTTTCAAAATTTTAATATATAAAATTTCGAAATTTTTTCAAATTTTTCAAAATTTTAAATATTATTAATTTTTAAATATATTCTTTAATCTTTAAATAATTTAAATATATTCTTTATTTTTTGAAATTTTCGAAATTTTAATATATAAAATTTCGAAATTTTTT